GGCAACAGGGGCAATGGGGGCAACAGGGGTAACAGGGTGAAATAAAAATATTTTACAAAAGTTAGTAAGTTCAATCTTAAAATATTGCAAATATATTCTTTTTTAAATGACTTTCTCCAAATGTCCTTTTTGTTTGTGTATTTTTATCTCAGACTTTCTTCGTCTCTTTGTTCAGACTTTTGCCTGCATTTGGCAAAAACAGTCTGTAAATAATAAAACTTATAATTCTACATTTATGGACTTTTCCTCTCACGGTGACGACCTCGTTTTAAACACGATGCTCATCTTCAGGTCGTCTCCTATGGTCCTGGTCATTATCATTTTTTTCTCAACTTTACCGTTTACGTTCATAAACAGCTCTTTTCTGTGGATGCTGTGACTTCATCGTTGACTGATTCAACGTTATCTTGTTTTTGTCTGGATCTATTTTTAGAATCAATCTGCTGCTGGAGAAGATCAACCATCACGTCTTGGTGTTCTGCTCAGAGCTGGGACGTGTTTTATCTTCAGGGACACAAACTGCTTTCTGTGTTTGTGCTGAATGTATTTCAGCGGCCACGTTCAGAACCTGGAGAGCCCGACTAGGACACGCTGCTGACCTGAAGACTTCGGGCTGAATGGGAGACTCGAGGATGAGGATGATGACGAGGAGAGGAAGCAGCAGGAAGCCGCCCAGCGACACCAGCGTCACCTGGAACACTTTACTGCTGTAGGTTCTGGAGAACAAACAGGAAACAGTGTGAGAAAGATGCTCAGGCTTTTATTGTGAAAATCCTGAGTCCGCTGATGAGGAACTAGTTTAATCCAGAATCAGACTGGAATGAATCAGTCAGAGCAGCGACCCCATTGGCTGGATGCTTCCTGGTTCAGCTGCTACAGAGCATCTGATTGGCTCGTTCCTCATCATGTTTGTCTTTAATCTTTAATAACTTTCTTAAAAACAAACAAACTTGTTTGGACTTTGTCTTCGGAACATTTAAGATTAATAGTCAAAACATTTCTCAGCAGTTTGTCAGAAATAAAACAAACCTTCAGACGTTTTGAGCCTGATTCTACAAACATGAACGTTTTTACTCAATAAAACAACTTTTACTTTGAAATATCATCACGTGATTACATCTGAGGACATCTCACCTGTTCTCTGGGCTTCTCTCTTATTTTTATTATTTTATTTGTTTTTTCTCAAAATGTGAAAAACAAACAAACCCGAAAACCTTCAGATTCCGTTCATTTCATGGTTCTGTCTGGTTTTTATTCTGAAAGTATTCGGACTTTTCCTGATGACCGGCAGGTACCGGACGGTTTAATGATCCACAATATGAACAACAGGACCACAACATGGATCAGAACCGGGTTTGTTAAGAAATTACACAATTTGGCAAAACTACTTCCGGTCTGTCCGCAGATTTATTGTTTTCACTCTGTGTCGCTAAACGGGCCGGAAGCCGCTGATCAATACCCGGATCTGATCAATAACCGGATCTGATCGGTACCGACCGGTCCCGGTGCTCGGAAAGCGGCCCTGCCTCGGTTCCTACCCGGCTCCCTTGTATCGCAGCTCCGGCAGCTCGTCGGTGATCACCGTCGGTCTGTGCAGCCTCCGGAACCGGAGACCCGCCGCTTCGTTCATGCTGGACTCGGATCAGTTATGCTCGGTTCGGTTCTGGGTTCGGCGCTGCAGCGGGTCAGTGTGTGGAGGTTTATCCGGGACCAGAGCGCCTGAAGCGGACACAGCAGCGACCATCGTCCCGGGAGACGCCGCTTCTTCTTCTTCTTTGCTGGTCCGTCGGCGGCTGCTCCGCAGAGCGCCTCCCCGCCCCGCGCCTCCTGCTGGCGGAGTCCGGAACTACAGGCTTCATCACAGCAGACAGTCGGTCAATAAACATTAAAAAGCACAAATAAAATAAACACAGCGACCCGAGCCGTCTAAAACAAAAAGTGAAAAACCATTCATGTAAAACACTAGCAGAAGAAATGCATTTAATCAGAATAAACACGTAAATTAAAACAGAACTATTGAAGTGAAAACTCGGACCTTTAGGAAAAGGAACTATTGAAACTATTCTTTATTTTTATGCTTTTATTTAGGACTGAAACTAGAAACGTGTTGAATCAGACCAACGCAACGTCTTCAGTTGGTCTCCGAACTGGTCGATCATTATCATGAGAGTGAAGTTCCACAGAGAGCTTCTGATCAATAATCAATAATGTGACACAACAGTAATGTTTACAACATGGGACCAAATGTGTCGAACAGCTGAAGTTTTATTTGAGCTTCTTCTCTCAGTTTGATCTGTGAACTCAGCAGAAGAAGAAGAAGAACATTCCTGGAACATTCCTGGAACATTCAGAAGAAACAAAAACAATCGATCATCTCAGTGAAGACTTCAGGATGAAACCGTTTCCTCCTGAATCCTGAACTGAAGCTGAGGAGTTCAGATGAGCTCTGATGGTTCTGTTGGACTTCCTGCAGCTTCAGCAGCAGCTGGGTTCACCTCAGAAGCAGAACAATAAAGTTCTATCGAACCGGATCCGACTCAGAGAATCTGCAGGTTTTGGTTCAAACAAAAGCAGAAACAGGATTTTCTCTCTTATGTCTGATCTTTGGGCTTCATGTGAAACGTTTCTGAGCTCGAAGGTTCAAAACTCACGAACTGACAATCGGTGCAATGACTTCCTGCAGCGTTGCAGGGTTCGGGTCAGGTTCGGGTTCGGGTTCGGGGTCAGCTGACACAGCGATGCTCCCGGAGGCTCCTCATGGCGGTGAAGCTGCGGCTGCAGGCGGCGCAGCTGAAAGGTTTGCGTCCGCTGTGGACCAGCTGGTGCGTCTTCAGGTTGTTGTTCTGACTGAACCGCTTCCCGCAGACGTCGCACTCGAACGGCTTCTCGCCGCTGTGGACGCGTTTGTGTCTGACGAGGTTCTGCGACACGCTGAAGCTCCGCCCGCAGACCTCGCAGATGAAGGGCCTCTCGCCGCTGTGGGTGCGCTGGTGCAGCGTGGCGCTGGTCTGCGTGGAGAAGCTCTTGTCGCACTGACTGCAGCCGAACGGTTTCCCCTCCGAGTGGCTGCGGCGGTGCGTCTTCAGGTAGCTCAGCGAGCTGTAGCTCCGCCCACACACGTCGCAGGAAAAGGCCTTGCTGCCGGCGTGCAGCTGCAGGTGAGTCTTCAGCACCTGGCTGCTGCTGAAGCTTTTCCCGCACTCGTGGCAGGTGTGCGCTTTTTGGCCACTGTGCACCTGCTGGTGGCGCCGCAGCGACGTGGAGGACGAGAACGTTTTGGCGCAGTTACTGCAGCCGTACGGTTTGATGCCGGCGTGGCTCCTCTCGTGCACCAGCAGCGCGCCGCGCTGTCTGAAGCCCTTCCCGCAGGCGTTGCAGATGAAGGCCCAGCCCTCGCCGTGCAGCGCGCGGTGCGCCTTCAGGTGTCCGGCCTGCGTAAAGCTGCGGCTGCACACGTCGCAGCTGAACGCCCGGTGCCCCGAGTGGATGAGCCGGTGCCGCCGCAGGTTGGCCGCTATGCTGAAGCCCTTGCCACAGGTGTCGCAGCTGAAGGCCCTCTCTCCCGTGTGAACGCGGCGATGCACCGTCAGGCTGCTGCTGCTGGAGAAGCTGCGGCCGCACTGCTCGCACACATGCGGCCGCTCGCCGCTGTGTGTGCGCTCGTGCGCTCTGAGGCCGCCCTGCTGACTGAACGCCTTCCCGCAGACGCTGCAGCTGAACGGCTTGAGGCCGCGGTGGACGGTCAGCTGGTGCACGTGGACGCTGCGACGCGCCGTGAAGCCTTTCCCGCAGGTGGAGCAGGTGAAGGGTTTGTGGCTCAGGTGGACTCTGCGATGCGCCGACAGGGAGCTGGCTTTGGAGAACTCCTTCCCGCACTCGGTGCAGGTGAACCTTTCACCGGCCTTCGGACACGTCAGCTGGTGCTTCCTGAAAACACACGCAGCCGCCAGAGTCTGGCCGCAGGACGCGCACACAAGCGGCCGCCGCCTGGCTGCCTGATGGGTGCGCAGGTGGCTGCGGGTTCCGAACGCGTTGCCGCAGTGGCTGCAGCTATGCGGGCGCTGCCGGCGATGCACCGTCAGCTGGTGGACGCGCACGCTGCTGCGGGCGGAGAAGCCGCGGCCGCAGTCACGACAGGTGAACGGACGCTCTCTGCTGTGGACGCGCAGGTGAGCCTGCAGGTTGGAGTTTCTGGAGAAGCTGCTGCTGCAGATGCTGCAGCTGAAGCTCCGCCCAGTGCACGCCGCAGTACCCTGCTCTGATTGGCTGCCACCTGTTGGAACGTCTGATTGGCTGTTGACCTCCACCTGAGTGTCTTNAGAGGGTAGATGTAGAGTTAGAGGGTAGGATGTTGAGGCTCCAACTAGAACTCATGAGTTCATAATAAACTGGGATCAACTGGACCACAGCTCCTACTTTTCAGTGACAGATAGAACATCAGCACAGAACAAATTCAATTCTATTTTATTTGTATAGCGCAGTTTACAACACGTTATCAGGTAGCGCTTAACAAAGTCGGATGTAGACCTTACAAATTTAAACAAATGTCTGATATGTTTGGTGCTGTTGATAATTATGTTGCATATATCAGGTTTAAAGGCATATTTTAACTTGCATCCTGCCACAAACTGTGCTCTGCTTTAATAACTCCTGTGTGAAAGCAGAAGTAAACAAAGGATCAAATTGAGGTTTAATATGAGTCTGTTAAAATCGCTTTGATCGGCTCTGATCCATGTCTTTCACAATTTTCATTATTCATTTGACTGTTTATTATATTTCTTTTATTTAATATTTATACGTATACTTAGTATTTAAAATCTTTTTATTTGTTTTCTATTCATCTCACTGAATTCAAAAGAACATATGTCATGTTTTACAGCGTTACCATTTCATTGCTTCTGTGTGCCTGTTCCCGCACAGTTCTGGTGTTTATGAGTCCAGTTCAGCAGAACCACCCAGAACGTCTTCACCAGTTCTCTGCTGCATGACGTCTCTATGACCTCAGAAGGCGTTCCCTGTCTGACCGTTTCATGATTCTGGTGGTTTCTACTGTAACGTTTGAATGTGAGCTGAGCAGAGGAACCATTTGTGTTCAGGATGGAAATGAACCCAAACACCTCCCACTGACCCGACGCATGCACACACGCCTTCCTGCCTCTGTGAGGACCGCAGCAGCTCTCACACAGACACGCTTACATAACGGGCCGGATCCTGAAACCAGAGCCAGCAGGACACACAGAGTCCAGCAGGGGGCGCCATCCTCCTTGTAAAATCTAAAATCAGCCTGACTTCAGGAAAACAGGCTGACAGCACAGGAAGCCTGTTTCCGTGGCAACAGTGCGCGTTGTGTAACTCGTCATAGACCAAACATGGAGAGGATCCGAGTCAGGTGATAAATGATCTGTCCACATCAGGTGAGTCAGGTGGGTTACCTGCGGATGCGGGCCATGGTGGTCTCTGCCACCAGCACCGACTCTTCGTCCGGCAGCAGCTGGATGCCGTTTGGAAATCGCAGGTTCTCCATGACGACGGTCAGCTCTCTGGTCTCCATGTCGAATTCCAGAACTCTGAAACAAGGAGCTGTGAGCTGCCAAGAGGCTTTTAATGTGAATCACCTGGTGGTCAGGTGGGCGGGGCTTCGTACCTGCCGTCAGCGGTGGCCTCCATGATGAGGTTCAGGTAGTCTCTGCGCTGCCACCTGCTGCTGGAGTCGGTGAAGTACAGCTTCTTTCCGTCCTGCGTCACCGCCACGTCATTAATGAACGACAGCTGCCTGCCGCCCACCACCTGACCGCCAGCAACCAATCGGATTGCCTCACCTGAGAAAGACATAAAACAACAACAAAGACACTGAAGTTCGACGGAGGAGGCAAAGAAAGAGCTCTGTGCTCCAGATGGACAGGCAGGTGTGGAGACTCACCTGTGGTGGGGTTGACCTCGAACACACCCAGGTAAGCGTCGGCTACGAACAGAGTCCCGTTGGGTCCGACTCTGATGCCGAGCGGCCGCCCACAGCTGGACTCGTCCTCTCTGGAGCCTGAACAACAACAACACGTGCTTAGAGCGGCGCTGACAAGTCCCGCTGTGCTTCACCTGTCTGACTTCCTGTTCAGAAACAACACCTGACGGAGGCTGTTTGGTTCATCGTCATCCAATGTTTCAGTAAACATGTGTCCAGGTGTGTGTTCAGGTGTGTGCTCAGGTGTGTGTCCAGGTGTGTGTCCAGGTGTTTAGGTGTGTGTCTAGGTGTGTGTTCAGGTGTGTGTCCAAGTGTGTTTCCAGGTGTGTTTCCAGGTGTGTGTCCAGGTGTGTGTGTCCGTGTGTCCAGGTGTGTGTGTCCAGGTGTGTGTCCATGTGTGTTTCTAGGTGTGTCCAGGTGTGTGTTCAGGTGTGTTTCCAGGTGTGTGTTCAGGTGTGTTCAGGTGTGTGTTCAGGTGTGTNTGAGAACTCTGGTTTTAAGCTCAACACACCTGCTGACCCACTGCTCTGGTTTCGTACTACAGCCCTGTGGAGGGTTTGTGTTGCAGGTTTACTGCGTCTCACCATCTTTAATGTCCTGCAGCTGCAGTTTTCCTTCCAGCAGTTGCTGCAGCTGCTGCAACAGAGTCTCACAGAGTTCCTCCATCAGCGCCTGCAGCTCCTCCTGCATCAACATTTACAAACAACTTTAAAATTTAGGAAAAATAAAAGAGAATAAAAACTATGAAAATAACAAAAAACTCTAAAACTCTTTGAAATAGTCGAAAAAAATAAAACAAAGTGAAAATGAACAATATTTATTATCTGAGGAACCTGAGGGTTGATGAGTGAAATAAAAACTACTACTGCAGTACTAGTGCTGCAGTACTACTACTACTGCAGTACTACAGGCTGTACCTCCATGTCGCTGCTGCTTGTCTTCAGTCTGATTCTGCTGCAGACTTCTGTCGCTGCTCTGCAGCTGAACTTCTGCAGGACGAAGAGCAGAAGCTGCTGCTGATCACACATCTCACCGCGGAGCAGAGCCGCCCCAGACCCGGATCTGACCCGGATCTGAGCCGGATCAGTGCCGGCTCACTGTGTGTTTCTGACGGTCGGAGGTCCGCGTGTCGCCCCCTGCTGGACGGAGGTCACAGATTTATTTTATATATAGAATTCTATTTTAATCAAAATGTGGAGATAAAAAAATCAGTTGAACATTAAAACAAAATAAAACAATTTTAAAAGCTAAAAAAATAAAGATTTACATTTTAAGTAATGTAAAAAAGAGAGCGATGAATCCTGTCAGCAGACGACAGAAGATCAGAACGACGACGATCAACAGAAAAATAGAAAATATAGAAAATGAAAATTATAAACACACGTACAGATGTGACTGTTTCATACAGTTTAGGGCTTTTTCTACACTTTTAGCACTAAACAAAATTTAAAAAAGGGTAAAATTGTACTTTGCTGTTTTTTATGTAATTGGATGCAGTCATATGGGTGAGGACACCCGGGATCTTCCTGTGTGGAGTCTCCATGTTCTCCCCGTGCAGCGTGGGTTCTCTCCGGGTTCTCTGGCTTCCTCCCACAGTCCAGAAACATGCTGAGGTTAATTGGTGATTGTAAATTGTCCGTAGGTGTGAATGTGAGTGTGCTTGGTTGTCTGTCTCTAAGTGTAGCCCTGTGATAGACTGGTTACCTGTCCAGGTGAACCTGCCTTCACTCTGAGTCAGCTGGGATAGGCTCCGCCCCCCATGACCCTGGTGAGGATGAAGGTGTAGAGATGATGGATGGATGAATACATAAACAGACAGCAGTTTGTGTTAATCAGTACAAGTTTATTTTTGTGTATTTACATTCATATGATTTAATTTCAGCAGCAAATGATCATAAATCTGTAAAACGTGTGTAAAATAATTGTTTTAATTTTTAAACTAATTGTATCAGTTTATCAAAAATCAGGTGAAGACGATCAGGCAGGTGAAATTAAACAGTTTCTCCTCTGAGTTCTATTTCTGAGATTAAGCTGAATTTTCTCATTTGATTTTACATTCCTGACTTTATTTGCTGAATTTACAGATTTAGTGTAAAAACTGAGAACAAAGTGAAGAGTTCAGACACTCAGGTGAGGAGGCGGAGCCCCGGCCTGTGAGCCAATGGGAAGACAACACCCACTTTATATGTTTATTTATTCATGTTTCAGGGTCCCTCCTCTCATTGGCTCTCAAACCTCCTCCTACTGCTTCTTCTTCTGCGCCTCTTTTCTCTGCTTCCTGTACGCCTCGTGAGCCTCCAAGATCTCCATGACGACCGACGGGTCATCCAGGGTTGACACGTCTCCGAGGTCGCCGCTCGTCTCCATGGCAACCTTCCTGAGGATGCGCCTCATGATTTTCCCAGAGCGAGTTTTTGGCAATCGCTTCACCACCTGATAGACGAGAGGCACGCTGAGCTCTGATTGGCTGATGCCGAAAGAGGAGCAAGCTAACTGATTAACAAGCCAACAGGTGAAAAAGCTAACAGGAGAGCAAGCTAGTCAACTTAGAAGGTGATACGGTTACTAAGTGATAGAGTAGCAAGCTAGTAGTCCAACAGCTATCAAATCAACAAGAAAAAAGACTAACAAGGTAATGAACCAACAAGCTAGCAATATTATAGAGGCGCTAGCAAGCTACCACGCTAACGATATTATAGAGGCGCTAACAAGCTACCACGCTAACAATATTATAGAGGAGCTAGCAAGTTAACAAGCTAACAATATTATAGAGGAGCTAGCAAGTTAACAAGCTAACAGCACAACATGCCAACAGGTCAACAACAACATCGCAAGCACAAGATGGTGGCACAGGTGTCTGGCATGTTGTGGCTTTGCTGTCATAACATTGGAGGAAGTGGAGACATGGCGGCCATCTTGGATCTGTGGTCAGGTGACTTAAACCTGCAGCTTAACTTATCACACGTCTGTAGAATGTAGAGCCTGTTCACCTGAGCTACTGCGACCTAAACTGTAGGTGTGCTCACAGCGTCGCACTCGGTACGACTGGTTGGCACTCGCTGTGCGCGCTGCAGTAGTCCCGCCCACAGGGACACGTCTCTGACGGCGACCTACCAGGAAGTGTTCGGGGACGGCGTACTTGGCGATCTTGGTCGAGACGAGATCTCTGAGCTGCTGCAGGACTGCAGACGGAGCGTCACGGAGGTCCTCCTTCAGAACCACGAAGGCAAACGGCACTGAAACA